CCGGGATGAAGGAATAAAAACAGAAGGCATAACTTAATAATTAGCAATTTACAATAAGATGGAAAGTGAAAACCTTTTCTTTTACACAATGTTTTAAAAATGCATGGAATGGGGAAAGCCATTGAATTATAGAGTCTTAGAGTCATACAGCACAGAAAGAGACCCTTCGGTCTAACCAGTCCATGCTGAAAATAATTCCAAACTAAAATAATCCCACCTGCCTGTGCTTGGCCCATATCCCTCCAAATATTTCTTATTCATGTACTTACCTTTTAAACATTGTAACTGTATCCAAATCCACCGCTTTCTCTGGAAGTTCATTCCACACACAAAACACCCTCTGTGTAAAAACAAAAATTGCCCCCATGTCGTCCTCAAATCTTTCTCTTCTCACTTTAAAAGTATGCCCCCTAGTCTTGAAATCCTCCACCACAGGGAAAAGATAAGGTTCCATTTACCTTATCGAACCCTCTCGTTATTTTGAAAACCTCTATTAGGTCACCCCTCAACTTCCTACACTCCAGTGAAAAAAATCCCAGCCTATCCAGCCATTCCAGGCAACATCCTGGTAAATCTTTTTGGAAATATATATGCTGAAGAATTAGCAGTGTTCATTTCTGGAGGACCATAGTGAAAAGGTAGGCATTTAAAGAAGACATCAGACCAAAGAAATGACTAACTGGCTTAGTGATCATTTCCTGTTCCTAAAATTCTTAATATTGTCTAAATTTTGTTGAGGTAGATAAGTGCGAACCAGTAAATGAAGGATACCTGGATGTGAGTACTGCTGAAAAATGTTCGCATTTGGTCAAAGTTTTTTGTCTTGCACTCGTCAGGACAATTTGCAGCGATATAAATGTAAAGGAAAATAACATTTACATGCATATTCTTCCAAAATGTACTGGTGAGTGCAAGTTGAAAGGCTTAACAAAATGTGACGTCTTCAGTAAGACTCAAGTGCTGGATGACCAAGTCACTATTTCTATGCATGAATTTCCAAAAGGCATTTGCTAACATGTCACACAAAGGGTTAATAGACAAGATAAGGGCTCATGGAGTTGGATGTACTATATTAACATGGACAGAAGATTGATATTGAACAGAAAGCAGAAAGTAAACATAAGCAGGGCCTTTTGAAGTTGTGAGACAGTGTTAAGGAATTCTGCAAATCTGCGAATAAATAGACTGCAGCCGTCAGACTTCAAGGTAAAGAGAGCCTTTTATTTGTGATATCACAAAGAGTCAATGCTAACAAAGGTTAGATGCCAAAGACTCTGCTGCAGTGCAGAGTTTCAAGATATTTATAGAGAGAGACAAACAAGTTGGCGTGACAGATAACAGTTATCTCATAGTCCATAGCTTAGGGTTCTCCAGACATTTCACCACATCCCTGAGCTGCAGACTTTCTACATTCATAAATGTCTGGCTAACATGCACTTATGTTACTGACTAAGACAAAGTGCTGTTAGAATTACCAAAGGGAGCAGTTACTAAGAACTAGGGACGTTTGAACACTTTGAGGTGACACTTTCTTTTAACATTCTGTTTGTCACGTAGTCTTTTTACCCTTTTGATACTGACTTTTCTTGAACCTTCTACAACATGCTAATTTCTTTCACAGACAGTGAATGGTGAAGTGATGGGTCAGTTCTGGGATCCTGTTTGGTGAAGAGACAGAATGTAATGTATCCAAGTTTGATGATGATACAGTCCTGGGTGGAAAGGTATGCTTTGGCAGTATCAGAGAGGCAATGAAATAACCAAGTTAAGTGAGTAGGTAACAAGATGGTAGATAGATTAAAATGTAGGGAATTTTGAAGTCATTCACTTTGGTCATTGGATAGAAAAAGGTATTCATAGAGAATTGAATATGTTCATATAAGAAACACAGAAAGTTAGCATGTAGGTACAAGATACAGATCGGAAGGCAAAATGGCATTTTGGCCTTTATCACAGATATAGGATTGGAGTACAAGAATAAATAAGTCTTGTTAAAATTCTACAGGATTTTGGTGAGACCACATCTGGAGTACTGTGTATAGTTTTTTTGTCTCCACATATAAGGCAAGATATATTGCATTGGAAGTGGTACAGCGCGAGTTCGCTACTTTGGATCCTGAGACTTTGATGAGAGGACTATATTCTCTGACATGTGGAAGAGTGATTTCATGGTGATTGCATTTATAAAGATTTTGAAGGGGCTTATATGGTAGATACTAAGAAATTGCTTCTTCTGTTTGAAGAAAACAAGAGCACAGTCACAGGATGATATGATTATTTAAAACTGCATTGAGGAGTAATGAAAGGTTTATGACAGTTTGGAATTCTCTCTCCCTCTCAAGACTGGGGAAAACATTTTTGGTGTCTCAGCAATCAAGGGATATGGAGAATGGCAGGAAAGTGGAGCTGAAGATCAGCCCATGAGCACATTCAGTGGTGGAGCAGTTTTTTTGGGCCATTTGGTTTATTGCTGCTTTTATTTCTTGTGTTTTTGTATGAATTACATCGCGGCTCAAATCCATCATTTCTTCTGGACTGCTCTTCCCACTATTTTTACGAGAGTCTTCTTATGAAGATGTATTATCTGAAGTATTTATTTACAATATTGACTGGATATGTTTATTTTATATATACAGATTACTTGTCTTGAATTTTTGAAAAATAATTTTGTAAATCAAAGCAGCACTGATTACAGTAGAAATAATATTGCATTTATAAGGAAGAGACTGCTTGGATAGAGGCACAGGGCTCTTTCCAGTCCTGAACAGTGTGGGAATTGGCGAGAGATTGGGAGATCAGCGTTGAGGAGCTTTTCATTGTCAAGAACAGAAAGTTCCCATTTTCCAACGAAGTGTTGAATGATAAGATGAGATTCTCGCTGGGGAGTGGTGAGAGGTCTATTCGCTTGTATTAGCATTAGTCATTATGACATCATCTCATCTCAGTAATATTTATTTTCCTATTTTCCCACTTGCCACTTAGAAACTAGATGATAATAATGCCCAACATGAAAGTCAGGGCAGCAACCTAGTGACTCCAGCTCGCCACTTGATCCTCCAGACCTCTCAGTCAAAAATATCACAGGGCATACTCATGGGCAGTGACCATATACAGCTCCTGACCAACATGGATTCCATGTTCTCACTGAAGGACAGTACCAATTACTCTCTGCCCAACATGACTGATGTAAATAAAATCAACCGTGCAGGGTACCTGCAGACTGCCAACTGTTGACTGGATGTACAGCTGAGTTTTAAAGATGGCTCTGGTGGCAGTGGCCAGTACTTCACCTGTGTCAAGTGGGAGAATATGATGTGTGGGGTACGATAGGGACATAGTACACCATTAATGAGATGAGTTCGGGAAGGTAGCGTGAGAAAACTCATGAGGGCTTGCAGGCAGAAACTCTCCATGAAAATTGCCAAAAATGACACTGTGCCAATCAGGTAAGATTCAGCCCACAAAATCTGCAACACTTTCACCGAGAGGTCACATGACTCAGGAGAAAATGGTGTTGGATTTAAGCTCAACTTTTGAGATAATTTACCTCAGGAAAAATAGCCCTTGCACACTCTCTCAGTTTGTCTCTGTCTGAAACCCCTCTCATTGAATTTTGAGAGTTGTAAACTCACTGTAAGACCTCATCCTATAAGTGAAGAGTTCCTAAAGGAGAATTCAAATTCACCGCTGTCTCCAGAAAAGTAAATTCTGCTAACTATGACTGATCCAGGAAGACACTCCAGTGCCTTAAGACACAACCTGCCTTTGAGATGATCCATGCTTTTTTTTGTTTCTGAATATACATATTAGTTCACAAAAATACTTTTTAAGGTGACACTCCACAGAACTTTTATATTTTTCCCTGACTTGGTGGTTACATGAATGTAAATGTTATTTTTTTCTAGATGGGTAATTGTATATAATTGCACAGTTTAATTTTTTTTTACATTTTGCTTGAGTAATTTTTTTTTGCTATACATTAACTGCTTATTTGTTATCTGAGGAACCTGGCTGACTTTTCTGGTTCTGAATAATATTTGATATATATAATTGGCAATATTACCTCTCTTCTTAAATTCAAACTTCATTGTGGCTGGTGTGATAATGAAAGGAATAATTTCACCTGTTCTAGATGGATCATAACAATGAGGTTAAAAGGATAGAAAATGTGCCAGGACCTGGAAACATCAACATGAGCCACATGACTGAAAAGTTATTGTTTTTTGATTAAAAGGAATGAATGAAGCTAACTGTTCTCCAATTTGTTCAAGCATAGAAATATGACAGATTAATATCTTGGAAATTCTATTTGTCTTTCTTGTTCCAGTCTTTATGGTTCTAAATAATGATCAGTTGAAATATAGGTATAATAGAGTAATATTATAAATAAATCAGACCAATTGACTGTCTTGGTAGAATGAATTTCATTTGGATTGACACTTTGAGTCAATTGCTTCTAATGCTTCTCAATTGTTTTGAGATTTTGAAAAAATTCTGATGGATATATGAGGTAATCCATTTAATCTTGCAAAGATACCTGACTCTGATGATTATCTCTGACCCAAATCTTTTGTTTCACTTTCTGTTTGTGCTTTCATAATCAAATCACTATATCATCAGTTGAAGGTTATGAATGGAAGTACCACAGCTGTGTGGAAATCTTTTGAACAGTACATTATCCTTTCTTCATGCTATTAAATTTCTTTTAAATAATTTCAGAAGCAGCTTTAAGAATTCCATGTCTTGTGTGAAAGCTTGAGTTGCACTGAAGCACTTTTGTGCAATGGTTTTGCCTGCTTTGGCATAGAACTGTGATTAAGTAAACTAATTTTAGTTCTTGTGTAGCTCCACTTGCACTACAAGCTTGACTAATACTATGGCCAGTATTGTATTATAAATTTCCATGCTGTGATAAAAAGGAAGGCACAATATACTGTACGAAAGTTGGCAATCTTTGTTTGGCAGTTTTCATTTTATATTTAATGTTCCATGTTTCGCAGGGAGCCCCCAAACCTATTGCTGTGGAGCCCTGTTCAGGAAACAAAGCTGCAGTGTTGACAGTTTTTATTTGCCTGCCACGAGGTTCAAGTGGTACTCCTCCTCCTGGACAAACAGGTGAGATAAGACTTTTAATTTGGTGCTTTAAATCCATAGAGAGAATTGAGGATTGTTTTCTCAAAATTCATCTAACAAATCAATTTATAAGGAACTAAGATAGAATTCAATGGAATACATGGCACAGAACCAGGCCATTCTTTCAACTAGTCCCTGCTGCCACCTGTGCTGCACTCATTCCCCTCTACCTCATATATTTGTCTAGCTTCACTTTAAATATATACATACTATTCATTTTAAGCACTCCCTGTGGAAATGAGTTTCACATTCTCACCATTCTTTCAACAAAGATGTTTCTGTTGAACTCCCAATTGAATTTCTAGATGACTATCTTGTACTGATGAGCTGTAGTTAAGCTCTTTCCTACAAGAGGAAACATTTTCTGTATCCACTATATCAAAACATTTCATACTTTTCAAGATCTGTATGGTATTAACCCTCAGCCTTTTTGCTGGACAAAAGAGAACCAATCTGATCATCTGATTTTCTGATATGTACGTCCATATGTTTATGGTATCAAATTGCAGTTTTTCTCTGCATCCTCTCCAGTGTCTGTATATAATTTTGTAATATTGTTTTAGTTACGAGTTTTATAATATGACAAGGTTTTGGAACTGTGTCTTCAATTTAAGATGAAATTAAAAGAGCGATATGGCCTGCTGTGCAGTCTGTCCAACAGCAAGATGGTGTGGTTTGTTGTTGGAGTTTAAATGGGCCGAGGTCTTTTACTGGGAAGGAGTTGCAAAGTGTTTACACTTCAAGGAATGGCAGCAGCCTATGTGCTCACAGATGTTATGGATCAGATCAAACCACCTTCAAATATATCAAGGACCCTAACTTTTATCTTATTTAAAGGTAAGTGTAAGGTGCTGTGTTCCAGATGTAATGCAATTTGTTATGCTACTTGGCTTTAAGCAAAACACACTTTATTCTTACCGTAAAGTTAAAATTCAAACAAAACAAAGAAGAATTAGTATAACTTTAACTCTGTTGGAAAGCTTAACAGAATAATGGATTATTTAACTACTAAACAGCAACTGTTCCAATATATTAACATCTCATGAACACACCCTTGGCAAAGGCAAATTCAGTAAAATAAACTGTCTCACATATGATTTTGGCAGCAGGGAAAACTCCAGCTTTTTGCTGTGTCTGAGAGAGATGTCGAGACAGCCATCTTCAAACCCCAACAACTGCTTAAAGCTAACCTAAAACCCTGGTTCTGTGGGAGCCTGACTCCACTCATCTGTGATTCTATTGTTCCAATTTGCAAAAAAAACCAAAGGCCTCACAAGCTTTTGACGTTATTGGCTCACAAAGACAGCTCCTCACCTCTTGTCCTAAAATCTCTCTTCAAAACAAAAAGGACAAAATGCACGTCTTAAAGCCATAATATCATCACACAGTGGATAAAGTAAGAGTGCTCAAAGTCCCAGAATGGTGAAAATTTTGTCTAGTGAACAGTTGTGCTTTAAATTGACCATTTACTAACAAAATAAAAGATGGTTTAAAAGGTAGTCCTGTTTGACTATGCTTGCCAGTGTGGTGTTATCCACCAAGTTAGAAATTGTGTTTTTGATTCCAAAGTCCTATCTTTAATGATGTGAAATGTAGTACTATTTTCAGTATTTAAGTTTAAAATCCATAAACAGCTCATCTTCCATTTTGGGTCAGCTGTGGCTCCCAGTTGTTCACATTCTCAACTCTGCTTCAGAAATTTGTGCACTCAATGAAGAGCTTGTGATTTCATAGCCACTCCAGAACTTGAGAACAAATATTGAGGCTAACACTCCAGTGCAATAATGAGGGGATGCTGCATTGTTAGAGGTGTCATCTTCAAGATGACCTATTAAACTGAGGCTCCATTTGCCTGCTCTGGTGGGTATAAAAAATCCCATGACACTATTTCAAAAAAGAGTTTGGGGAACTATCCTTCGGCGTCCTGGTCAATATTTATCCATCAAAAAACTTCGCAAATTAATTATCTGGTCAATATTACATTGTTTTTTCAAGGAACTCGCTACACACAAATTGTGTTTTCTACTTAACAGCACAATAATAACAACAGATTATATTTATATTGTGTCTTCAATGTACTGAAACATTCCATATCACTTCACGGGGGCTATTATGAAACAAATGTATGACATCAACCAACAGAGTGAGATAGGTCAGCTGACTACAGGCTTAGTCAAACAGGTGAGTTTAACAAGTGCCTTCAATGACAAAAATGAAGTAGGGAATTGTCCCAAGGATATTCCAGAGTTTGAGGCTAGGTAATGGCTACCAATGGTGGAGTGAATAAAATCGGGAATGCACAAGATGCCAGAGAGAGATTACAGAGAAAGGAAAGATTGAAACTATTCAGGAATTTGAAACAAAGATGACAATTTTAAAATCAAGATGTTGCTTTTTTCCAGGAACCAACATGCGTCAATGAGATTTAGGCTGATAGGGACATGGAATTTCTTGTGAGTTGGAACTTGGGCAGTAGAGTTTTAGATGACTAGCTAAAGGTGTGTTGGAATAGTCAATACAGAGATAACAGGGTCAGGATGAGGGTTTCAACTGCAGGTGAGTTGAGATTGGATGAATTTGATGGTGTTATGGAAGTAGAAATAGGTGACTTAATAACGATAATGTGTATATTTACCAGAAACTTAACTGTTATCAAATGTGACACCAGAGTTCTTAACAAATTGATCTGACCTTATATTTGTGCCAGGGAGAGAGGGAGAGACGGATTCGATAAGTAGGGAATGAAGTTTTGAGCAGCTACCAAAATCAATGATGTAAGTCTTTTCAATGTTTAATGGAAGGAATTTCTGCTTATCCAGTACTAGATGTTGGACAAACAGTCTGATAACTTAGCAACAGTGCTGGAGTTGAAAGAGGTGATGGGGAGGTAAGGTCATTAGTGTACGAGAAAACTGATGTTGTGCTTTTGGATGAAATTGCCCAGACGCAACGTGTAAATAAGAAATAGGCGACGATCAAGGATAGATCCTTGGGGGAACAGAAGAGATAACAGAGCAAAAGCAGGAAGAGAAGCCATTGCAAGTGATGTTCCAAATATGATTGATGTTACAACTCACTGGGGTCATTCCTGAACATTGCTTGTTCTTGATGCTGCCACTGTAGATACTGGGGGACCTCCTTCACTGCTTACTCTTCCTATGTTGGGCCATGATGCCACCACTGCTGCTGCTGTTGAAGCTCCCGATCTGTCCTGGTGCCTTGGAATTTGGCCGGGCAATACCCACTCGTGTTGAGAGAGTGCCATGCGTCACCAAGAGACCGGGCTGAAAGACTGCCAGAGCCACTGAGAGACTGGGCTGAGACACCACCACGAGCCGCGAAGAGACCAGGCTGAGACACCGCTATTTGCCATCAGGAGACTAGGCAAAGACACCACCACAGGACACCAAGAGACTGGGCTGATGCACTGCCATAAACCGCTGAGAGACTGGGCCAAGACACCGCCAAAAGATGAAGCCAAGACACCACCATGAGTGCCTTGCTTGGTCTGCGCAGAGGTCGGGAAGATAAACCAAGACAGAAAGGGAAAAAATAGTGAAAGAAATGAGAAAAATACAATGGAGTGGAGGACATCCAGCTAAAGTGTCCTACTCTGCTGCCATCATGTGACAGCAGTTCATGATCCTTATTCACAGGGTTTGCTGAGATGATTCTTCTGAAGATCAGGACGCTGCTTCTTGATCTTTCTTTTCTGGATACTTTCACCTGTTTGCAAGAGGCACAGCGTGACTGCTTCTGACCTATAAAGGTCTTTAACTTTTTAATTAAAAGTCATAGCTTACACCAATTGGATGGTGGCAAAATAAATTGGATAACTTCAGACTTAAGAGATTTTTACTGAAGAATAAACGGCTCCTTCTACTCAAGAGATCCAATAGTTTCTCTCAAAACATTCACACCCCAATCTGTTCTGCTGCCTGGGAGCCAATCACATTGTTGTTGGCAGATAGAAGCCTTTGTCATCAATAATGGGCATTCGTGTACATACCAGTCAGCTACCTGTTACCAGTCACAGCTTCATTCATACATACTTTGGCTCCAGTTCATTCGCAAACTATTTCCACTATTGTTTGAGCACGTAGTAGTGGAAATAGGATGTGCAATTAGTGTTAAGTCACTTGTTTTTAAAAAGTGCACAAGCCTCCGATAATTCTTGTTTATTAAAGCTGTTGCTTTCCAATTTCAGTACACAGTGAAAAATGGAGGAAGAGTAAAAAGACAAAGTCCTTACAATTGTTTAATTAAGGACTGGCTTTAGCGCCTTTCGAGGGCTGTCACTCATTTAGTTAGTTAATGTGTTTTGCTGGATTTCTAGGTTTCTTGAAAGAGTATAAAGAGAATCAGCTGGGACACCAAGGTAGTGGTTGGGAGACTATATCTTGTGAATAAATCCACTATCAAGGAAAGAACTGTGACTTGGTTTATACTTGAACATCTAGCCTAGTGATCACCTTGGACTTAGGGACTGGAGATGAGGGCTGTAAAGGAGGGATGGCCAGGAAGACGGACAGCAATGAGCACATCAAGGATAGAGGTGGGAGAGAAACAAGTGTTAGTGAGTTTAACCTGAGGGTCACCACACCTCAGGCAAGGCAGGGTCTCAGCCACTACAAGAATTGTATCTCTGTATATTACAACCAAATGTATTAAGCAATCAACACACAGATGGTTCAAACAAGTGACATGCTTAGCATCGTGTTTTCAATTCTTCATTAACTTTCTTCCTAACTACAATTAACGCTTCAAATGGTCTGTTTCCTTCTATTAGAGTTAACAGAAAAAGAGTTTTGTATGTTGTGTTGCAAATCAAATTTTACAAAAGCCATGCTTGTTACAGTAATTTGTAGGTTTTGAAATTTTATCAACATTATAGTGTGAACTTCCATATAATGTCCAACAATGTAGAGTTACTTTAAAAGAAGTGCACCCAGGAGTAAGGCAGCAAGTGTGTCAAATGTAAA